GGTGAATTCCTTTAACTATTTCACTTATTTTCTTTAACAAAGCCACTCGCTTTTTTTTTTAAAAGTTTGACTAGTTAATGTATAATCTGTATTGGGTGCTGATTTTGTGAAAAAATTATTTCAGGGATGAGGACAAAAGATCAATATCAGCTAAGGTTCTTGCTGAAGTTAATAAGTGGATGGAAAGATTCGATTGTCTTGTTGTTGGTCCAGGCCTCGGGAGGGACCCATTTCTTCTGGTATGCCTTTTTTAACCAAGCTTTTTCAACCCTAAATCTTTCTGTGGAGATTAAGATAGATTGTCACGTAGGTTACTGTATTTGCTCGATTGACTAAGATAGATCTATTGCATTGGCTCCTTTCTGCCAGGAAAAAAAAATCTTTGTTCTTTGTGTTGAACATTTCATGCTACCTGTTTGGTGTTCATACTGTGAGCTGTAGTCGTTTATAATATTTGCCTAACCTGTTCAGGACTGCGTGAGTGATATCATGAAGCATGCAAGACATTCAAATGTCCCAATGGTAATAGATGGGGTATGTGACTAGACTACAAACAAACATTTTTGCAACACATTCACTAGCATGCTTTTGACTGAAACTTTCTTGGCTGGTGATGTGGGTCTTTTCCAGGATGGGCTCTTTCTTGTTACAAACTGTCTTGATCTGGTCAGTGGATATCCCTTAGCTGTCCTTACTCCAAATGTGTATGAATATAGGCGCCTTGTTGAGAAAGTCCTTAATTGTGAAGTAGATAGTCAAGATGGAACAGAACAACTACTTTCTCTTGCCAAACGGTAAATTCTGTATTAAGTTCCTTCACATCATGGTCAATGCATTGAGCAGTCAACTGATCGTTTCTGTAATATTCCGAAGCACCCAACCCAATATTTTTAGCAAATTTGATATATAATTTTCAGTAATGGAAGCATTGACAGTATATGTTCGCTGGACTTTTGATGGATAACATGTTATGGGATTAAATGGAACATCCCCGTGTAGATTTGGTGTGAGAAGGAAGGGGAGAACTGAAGCAACTAAGCAAAAAGAGAGAAAAAGGGGTTTGGAGAGTGCATGGGGGTTGCAGAATGAGGGCATGGTGCATCTGCCAAAACAAGTTTTATGGTATATCAAAAAGAATCTGTTTCTGTCGATGAATTGACACAAGCACCGTTGACGACTAAACCTCCTTTCACACACAATGATAGGCAGTGGAAGTGAGAGAACCACTTTGCTGTTGGGAGGATTGCTACATCTATTGCAGAAGGTTTTCACACAGGCTCAGTACCCAGATCAGTTCACATATGAGGAGTGCCAGATTAATGCTGAAAAGTATGTGTTCTAAGTTTTGAAAAAAGAGAGAAAAGGAAGAAGATACCCTGAAGTATATATTAGTTTAATCTGGGGTGGGCTATTATTGTGTTCATGCATGTATGAAACAGTTATATGTGTTTGTCATAAATGACATTAACTGGTGCTCTATGTGGAATGATAGAAGGTGTTTATTTCAACTCATGTTGTGTAGTATGAGCATTTTGGAGGGTTTACAACCTGTTTATGCTATAATTAATGTTTTCAGCTAGACTCGTGTCAATGGATTGAACTGGTTTATTCGTACACCATGCACATGTAAGACGATGCATTGTAATTCACAAGGGAATCACCATATTTCAGTTTGTATTCCTCTTTTAATCTACAGTTGTATTACTGAAAGAGGCCCTCTTGTGTTGGTCATCATTAATGACTGCAAGTAGCCTGGTCCTGTAGTGTAAGAAGAAGTTTATGAAATATGTGGAGGAGTTAGTTTAATTGGAAAAACGATTCACCAGAATCCATTGCTTTCAACATACCTTCTTGTGGTTGCGAGTTGAAATTCTTTTACTAACAACATTGTATTAAAACCACTGTTTACGTTCATCTTTTTCCCCTTTTAGCCTTCTCTTTTTCAAAGGTCAGTTTTCAGTTGTATATCATTGAACCCTTGGTCCACCATTCCCTCCAGATGTCTTTTTAATATCTTTAGCTTACATAGTTGCATCATTATGTACCTTTACCTCTCATCAAGTCCTCATGTAGTGTAATGAGCTGATTAATGTCTCTTGTTGATCAGGGTTGGTGGTGTGACCATTCTCAGGAAAGGAAAATCTGATCTTATTAGTGATGGTGAATCAGGTATCATCTTGCTTGAATTCATTACTATTTTTCATGTGTGTGGTTCATGTTCTCTCGTAATTGTAGGTTAGTAGTTTCATTTGCTAATTTTTGTTTGTGTAATAGATGGGTATTGCTTAAATTTGAGTTGTAAAGTGTGGGTCACTCCTTTTGGTATTTCTGTGATTTCCTGACGGTGTCCAGCATATGTGACACTTTTAAGGGGAGTAGGACCAATAGCTTAACCTGTGGCTGCAGGCATTAAGGCAAATATGCTTGACTAAATGCTCACGCAAATGCAGACAAACAAGTGGCACTGATTTAGTGGGACATCTTTTGTCGTAGTGACCTTCTTCAACGTCACTGAGATAATATATTCCATGGCTACATAACACTCTCACAAGACACTAAACAAGTAGAGGCCCTTTACACAAGAGAGAACAATGAGACAGATCCTCTTCTAGAAAGATCCACCTCATTGTATCTGTGGGACTTGTCTTCTTCTCTCAGTTTCACTACCTTTTTCAGTGTCTTCTTGGATTTTCCTCCAGGTAGAGCATGGCTTAAGGTCAGTATTAATCATTGATTTAGAGGGCTCTGAGATACACATTGACCAAGGCGCACTATCAAGCGGTACGACCTAAAAGAAAAAAGTTGAATATGGTGAGAGATTCAGGTCATGTCGTGGCATCATAGAACCGTATAGGCCGAGTCGGTGACGATAGCTCAACAACTTGGGATTGACTCGAAGACGACTTGGCCGAGTGGTGCGAGACTCGGGGTTGATACGTTTACCATACTTGGAACCTTCTCTTTCTCTTTCTAGGGGAACAAAATCCATTGATGAAGAGAGAGAGAACATTCAGAGGCAATTTTGATAAATAAATGCAATAAATGAGGAGAAGGCATTAATGTATGGTTCTGTTTTCTAGAGATTGCAGTATGAATTGGCTGGCTGCATGGCATTTCCATGATTCTATTGTTCAGTTATCCTGTTTTCCAACATCTAGCATATTGAATCTATGACCCATAAGTCAACATAACAGTTGGCTTGTCAGAGTAGGCAATCTTTTGAAAAACAAACAAACAGTACAGTTGGCTTGTGACCAGATTCGACCAACAGGATGCAATTGAGATCTGACAACTAGATGATCTAGGGCCACTGAATCAAAACTAACCTCTATTTATGACGATAATAAGTATGTTTTTGCCCCTATTTGACCGCGGTGTGAACAACATGATATAACTTGTCTCTTTTCAGGGTAATGTTACTCTTACCATTATGATTTTGAACTACATTCTTATGGTTTATGCAGTCAAGTCAGTGAGCATATACGGTTCTCCCCGTCGTTGTGGTGGCCAGGGCGATGTACTTTCTGGAAGGCAAGTGATTATTTTCTACTGTTAGCTGTAGTTAGCTTCGTGAGGGAAAATGTTGTCATGTATATTCTGTGCGTTTATGGAAATTACTGAGACTTCCTGAATTTAATTGTTGCTTGTTATTGTGAGGCATTATTTCACTTGGGTCTTTTCTTCAAATACTGGGGTGTGGTTTTTTACTATTGCATTGTTGTCATTGAGCCACATTACTGAGGCAGGAAGAGGGTACCTTAATAGGGTTGTTGCGGTTGTACATTTATGTGAAATGTATTCCATAGCGCATGCTGCACAGCGTGCATGTTCCTAATGCTATTAGATGGTTTCTAGTTGTATTTTTTGTTTTTCTCTCTAGCAATTCTATAGGCTTAGTTGTTGGATTTGCAAAAGAAGCTAATTAGTTATGTTTTAGCAAAAAGGCCTGAAGTTACAAATTGCTGCAATCTTTTCTTAATCACATTTGACTGGTTAAAATAGGGTTGATGTGTTGAGCTGTCTACATATAGCATGATGATCATAATTCATTATTATTCTTTTGGTGCCAGTGTTGCAGTATTCCTATATTGGGCCCGTCAGCGTGTTGCTGAATTGGAACCGAGGTCGAACCCGACAATGTTGGGGGGCATAGCTGGGTCCATTTTGGTGAGGAAGGCAGCATTGCTTGCATTTGAGAATAAGAGAAGATCTACCCTCACTGGAGATATCATCGAGTGCTTGGGAATGAGGTAGTGATTACTATTTACTCAATAATGTTCATGTAGAATAGTTCATCAGTCTAGCAATTTGCTTTCTTTTTATGCAGTCTGGAGGATATTTGTCCAGTTAACCGACATCGTTAATTGGGATCAGGTGGAATCAACTGTACTCCCAAACTTCACTCCTATTCTTCTACCTTGCTCCCTTGTTTTCTTCCTCGTTGTGTGTACAAACGATCGATGATCTTGTATGTCTTATGTAATGTTGATACAAATATCAGATTAAGTGACTTGTGGCAACGCCTGAGGACGAAGCGTTTACAACTTGTAATAGAGGCTAATTTTCTTTTTGACGAGTTAACTTATTGAGAATATAGTTGTACACAGAAAAGCCTGTGCAATCGATCTACTTGATGCTGATTCGAGCAACTATACACGAAATACAACAATTTGTTGCCGCAATATTACACAATCATCTGCATTCCTACTAGAGTCATGAGCCACTAATAATAGTTAAGACGTCAACGGCGACACTCAGAAACCAACATGTCATCCAATGACTGGGGAGGGAACTATGATATCTAGCATTTCAGCATTTCTGTGACAAGCTACGAATCTGCAATTCCCCAATGAGACAATTGTTGAGAACATAGTAAAGTGTAGTGATGGAATTAAAATTTCATATTTTTTTTGGTGGGTGGGTGTTTTTTTTTTTTTTTTTTTTGGGGGGGGGGGGGGGGGGGGGGGGGTGTTTGGGGTTACATACAGAGTAAGCATCCTGCTACTTATCATGTGACATCTCTCTAACATAGAAAAGTGATAATTATAAAAGATGGACTCCTCATTCCATGAACTGAAGGTGGTAAAAATTTCATCATACATATATGTACATCTTGAGGTCTCCTATTTGGCCTTTACTCTCTTTGGCAAATTTTCTTGTTCATTGACATTCAAGCAACCTTCCCCATCAAACCCTTCTGCAAATGCCATTTCATCAAAGCAATGGTCAGTAAAAGAGCTAAAAATGAGGAGAAAAGTTAAACAAATTCTGATTTAGTTTGTGTCCCCTAGAAACTCAAATAACCAAAGCATTTCTCTTAGAAATTAAACCGATTGGGCCAGTCACAATTGGTCTAATGTCTGGGTGCGTATGGCGGTACACTGAGACCACCTTTCAAGTCGGCTGAAAAGGAAAGAAAAAAGGGTTTCGTCGATTCCCACTGGTTTTCAATTCTTTGACAGGATTAGGAGTGATGCAACAAGGAGGGTAAGGCACTATCTATATTTAACTTCATGTGGAAAGTATGATGATCAACACTCACATCATTACTCACGGTCATGGTCAAGCCACACCGTCCCTGCTCAAGAATCTTCAGGCGGTTGCTGTTGCTGAGGCCACATCTGCTGACCTATATAAGGATGAGGCTGCTGGCCATAAAGGGCTTGATCCACAGGCTTCCCCATGTACATCCCCAGAGCTCCAGCCTGCGAAGCATGTTGCTGTGGCATATAGTAGTAAGGAAGACCCTCAGTTGGACCTCCAACAGGAAGAGTCCCTCTTGGGATAGATGTAAGTACCTCATCTTTCAAATCTTCCCTCGGTACAATATCAACCAAGAAATCAAATATATCAGTCCTTGTGATGGCTGCTGCAATGTCATTCTTCTGAAGTGTCCTCCTTTTGTTCTCCTCGGTGTGATTCCAAGACCGTAGAGTCAACTCAAGGATGAACATCTCACAGGCCCTGGCAAATATGACAGGAGCCTCAGCTGCTATCATTCTAACATCCTCATCTGCTTTCATAATCTTCTTAATCCTAGCCAATGGAAGGCTATGGTTCTTAAAATCAGTTGTCTGCTCGATGTCTTGATACTGGCTTGTCCAAAAACTCTGGAGTTGTTGCTGCAATTGCTGTTGCTGCTGCTGCTGGTGGACATGCTGATAAGCAAGCTGATGTTGTCCAAACTGAGCTGGAGGAGCAGAGAGGCCAGATGTACATGAAGGAGGCGGAACTGATCCAACGGATGCAGGGGGAGAAATCATTTGGTTAGCTTGATATGGAGCAACAATGTATGGCATCTGAATTGAGCTACCCACCACCCCAGTAACTGGGGGCTGTCCAGGCCCTTGATGATCCATTTTAAGAGTGTATCACTGGGAATCTATATTCCCCAGACATTTTGAATGTCAAACACAAACAAGAAAATAAGGTTTTGAGAATGAAACATAACATTAAGCATTTCATCATAAAAAAATATCAGGCCACTGCTAAGCCTCTCAAAAACCCAACGGTATAACTATATAACAGATAAACAGAAAAACATTGTCCAAATATATGCATATAAACCAGTAAAATGCTACTTCTTCTGATAGTGAGTGTACCAAAAGTTAAATTCATCCCATTACAGATAGCCTCTTGGAGATAATCCAGGTATAAAAACAAATAATTTAAGCCTATATATGGTATGTTATGAGGAATATCCAAATCCTTAGCTCTTAAAATCCTCTTGGATTATTGACCCAAAAAGAAAACCCCCTTCAAGCAATTTCAACATGCTGTTTAAAAGTGTGAATTGCCACCCTTTACGAGCATCTATCTTGTTTAGATTAGTCGAAAGACTTGATAAATCTACAAAACATTTACAAAGATTTAGTGTGGAGACTTTTAATCCATTAAATATTTTCAATAAATCTACAAAACATGATTTGTTGAATTCAATGGAGATTTTCCTCCCAACTCGGGAACTGTAACATCTGAAAAGAAATCAACACCTCAGTGATGTTGCTCACGCGAACATATTTCTCACGAACACAAGTAATTAAACAAGAAATCCAAGCGTACAATGAAGATGGATTCATATGTACATAGTCTAACACAAAATTTTCAGACATTCCCCAAATTTAACCCTTGAATTCAGTATATTCTTGTCAGCACTCTTTGTCAACAGGGATCAAGATGGGTAATGGCCCCTATTTCCTTTCGTTCAACAGTACACAGACACAAAATTACCACCACCCAACATAAAAACTGCCATAGAGGAACTTCACACTCTAAATTTATCTATTGAAGTTCACTTGTAGGGAATAAAATACCTGAAATTATATGTGATGTATCACATAAATAACCACCCTTTTGATTTTAGCTCCAAATTATTTGTGGGATTGTATATCATGTGTGTGTGTGTGTGAGAGAGAGAGAGAGAGAGAGAGAGAGAGAGAGATTAATGGAACGTCAAAATAACAACAGTTTAAAAACTAGTAATCACATATAAACAGCTATAATTCTGGATTTCTGGCTGACATAAACACATGCATGAACATATATGACAAAAATTGATACCTTGACACAGCTCTATTTACTATGAATTCTTGGTCTTGTTCAACGATCAAAATCCTACCACAATACCTATCGAATGATCAGAAACTTAGTTCAAAATTACAGAAATTTCCAATATATACAAATGGGATTGCATAAAAATCCAACCTTTATGAACAGCGGGTGAGAGGGATTGACTAGGGTTCGAAATAGAGAGAGCTAATTGAATAAAAGTGCATGTTGAGTCATATACATACATACACCTATATATATACGGAACAGGAAGAAAGCGCCAGTCTGGCTCCTCAAACTCAAATTTCCAACCCACTCAGTAATCAAAATGACCGACAACCCTTTTTGTAGAACAATTGAATTTGAATCGAATTTTTATTAATTCGAATTTGAATTTGATTTTTAAATACGATTTAATTATCCGAAGAATTTTATTTTCGTATTCTATGTTTGAATTTATTAATAATATAAAATTGGATCCGATCTAAATAATTTAATATAACTAAAATTTAATAAACTACATCTAAATTTCAACTATTTTTTTCTTTAAATAATCACTTCATTTCTTTAATATATATATATATATATATATATATATATATATATATATATATATATATATATATATATATATATATTTATTTATTTATTAAAGCGGGTCATAATATTGGATCAAATATAAATATATTTAAATTTGAATCCATGAAATATAAGATAGTAAATTCAAATTCAGAGTTTGAATTATTGGTAAAAAATATCAATTCATATCCAACTACTGAAATTCAGATCAAAGTTTGATCTATTGACATACTTATTTATGCGGTGCTACTTTACTAGTTTTTATTTTTTTTAAAAAAATATGAAGTTTGAATGTGATCACTTGTTTAGTCAATTTACGGGTTATTGATAAGAGTTAAACTTACAATGTTAAGGATTAATAGTACTTTTAGTCTTTAAAATATATATTTTTTGTCAGTTTAGTCCTCAATATATCAAATTTGCCAATTTATATAATTTTGATCTCCACATAAACAGACCGTTAAATTTTTTTAGCGGAAGTGGTCACGTATAATTTTTTTAGACGTATCACGGACTCAATACATGATTATTTTGTCAAAAACTTAACGTCTATATAGGAATCAAAATAACATGAATTGAATACTTTAGTGATTAAATTGATACATTAAAAATTAAACTAACAAAAAATTCATACTTTAAAGATAAAAAAAAATTATTAACCCTGATCGGAATATATACAAAGTCCAAACTAACTTTTTATATCTACCGTGTGAATTGCTTCTTCAGTTGCCTTTCCTCCATTAAAGCAAAGCATTCAATTAGTATCAATTTAAGAGAAGAATCATATAAAGGACTAATAAACCCTCAATGTCTAGATTTTTTTACATTTAATAAGGTTTTACTTTGAATAAATTAGAAAAAATTTACCACTAAAAGGAGGGAATATGTTAGTGTCTTTCTCGTCTTGCCATCTGGTATAAAGTTCAAATTTCACTAAGTTCCCCTCCCCTATACGACTAGTGACCCAAAAAAAAAAAAAAGGAGATAATACAAGAAAATATTAATTTTTTTTGGCTTTTTTACAACTTTACAAAGTTGCTTTTGAGCTCGTCAACTTCCTACGGGTTCTAGATTCTTATTTTAAAAGTGACAATTGTTAACAAGAACAAAACTATTGATTTGTGGATAGTTTTGACTTGCATTTTTTAATGGCATGATTCTATCAACACGAATAATGGGTTGTATAAAAGGAGTAATCAACAGTTGTGTCTATTTATAAAAGACCACTTTTCCTATTTAGGAATCCGCCCGATTAAGGAGTCGAGGGTGAAAAATAATTTGAATGCAACACGCAAAGGCAAATTAAAACGAGTTTGATTAGTGTCAATCAACAAATTGCGTGTTTGACATGGAAACTCAAGGCCAACAATTGGCTTATTTTAGGAAATCTTGTCAATAGAATTTTTTTTTTCCTTCACATCCCATTTTTCTTTCTATATTCTCAATCTAACCTATTTTTTCATCATACCAAATAAAGTGTTAATTAACTAATTTTTTATTAACAAAATATAAACTATGAGAGATGGTAATATAGGTTTGAAATGGGTGACCTAACTCCAAGTGGACTTGTTTATGACAGAAGCATATTCTATACAGAGTACATGAAGTGTGGGCTAGAAGTTCCTTCTAGAATGCAAGAGATTAAGCTCACAATTCCTCTCGGCCCAATCACCTTGGATTTGCAACTTTTTGTTGCCATCGGAAGTTTTTAGTTCTCTCCCAAAATTAGGGTGCAACTCGGGAGGGTTGGACAGTCAACTCTAGTCTAATCTTATATATATAATCTTCAACTCTAACTTTAACCTTACCTCTGGTTGAGCAACTCAATCTGAGCACTGCCCGAGTTTAATTCGGGCGAGCTCAGGTTGAATTCAGATTAATGATTTTGAGCTATTTTACGGGTTGAATTCAGATCAAGTCCAAAATAGACTTGTTGTTCTAAACCTGATACATATATTACATAATATTCACATAAATTAACAACTAATAACGTCAATCAAACTTTTAACATAAAAATTATATTATTTAGAACTCAATGTTTGAGATAATGCAACTACAACCATACAGAACGCAAATAAACACAACTAGAATCCTTGTACAAACATAGAGTTCACTGCTTAAATAGTGAGTGAGGGAGGCGCACAATGAAGACTTTAGAACAGATTAACCGAGGACTTCAAAATAGATTAATCATAGATTTAAAAATGTATTTATATGGTTATAAATATTCGGGTTGATTCGGGTTCAACTCGGTAACCCGAGGGGTCAACCTGAGACCCGCTCAAATTGAATTCGAATTAAAATTTTTTGACCCAAACCCAACTCAAGTATTAGAAACTTTAGCCCAAAGCCTAATTTTTTCAGATTACGATCGGGTTTGCCCGCCCAAGTTGCACCCCCTACCCAAAACATGTAATCAGAATCGGATCAGATCGAATCAACTAGTTCAAACGATAAATCGGTGAATCGGACTCTTTGTTGGTCTGGATAAGTTATTGGGTTGTTTATGCACTTAAACCGTTGTTAAACCAAAAAATCATCTGACTTTTTGAAGAAATCATCAAAATGGGGTGATTTTATGAAAATCAGGCGGTTCAAAAATGACTAGCATAAAAGTTCTATTTTGGGCTAATTTGCCCTAAAATTTAAATCGATCAGGTCTCTCTCTCTCTTTCTCTCTCTCTTCCAAATATTATGCAATTTAGCTCTTACACCCCATTGGACTATCCAACACAAAATCAACATTGAAAAAAAAATTAATCTATCGATCACATTATTTGGTCATAAAAACTATTAAGAGCTGACTTTATATGTCTATAATATGCCTATCCAATTATCTTTCACTTTTAAAATAAATTATTGATTTGATTGAGAGTGTGAATCCTTCTCCATTATCGTGGAGACATGAATAATTTGTCGTAAATTCATGAACAGGAACTATATAGACAGATAGATTCATGGGTCTATGCATATCAATAGAAAAGTTGAGATATGAATGATTAACGGGTATTTATGTAATTTCAAACTGCGATCCAAAGTCCAAGCTTTTATTAAGACAGAGAGCTCAAGGCTGTACATTGATTGATGCTCATGAACTTGTCAGAAAGCAAATTATAACAGGGAAACAAAACAACCAAACCACTCTCTCATTTTTAGTAATAGACACCAACCAGCTCTCCTCCACTTCTTTACATGGTCCCGCCACTCATGCCACACCATTGATGAAGATGAAGATGAAGATGAAGATGAAGACCTCTCAATTTTTACAGAAAAGATGGTGTTCTACTTTGTGGCTGCAAGAACAGCTGGCCCTTCCACCTGAAATATTATCCACCAACTTTACAACTCAGCAGTAGTATAGGAATATGTGGCTCAAAGTGCATTTATTCAAAGCTGGTATAGGTTTATTGCCACAAATATCAATCAAAAATCTTCTTGAACCTTCCTATCCTATCTACATATGTTTGTTCAGTATACAACTTTGCTTTCTTTTTTGGTACCAATTTTGGGTCATCATCTCATCCATGTCATACAGTTCAAAACCCTCTACAGTAAAGCACACCATTGTTGGAACCATAAAAAAAACAAGTCTTTTCCAAAAAATATCAATATAGTTTTTTCCCCAAGATTTGTTTTTGATATCCTCAGTTTGTGCTTTAACAGAAAATATTGACTTTAATAGTGTACAATGTAAGAACAAGATTGACGTAGCTACTTCCAAGTAGTTGGGATAAGTCTGTGTTGAGTTGGGAATTTCCTATGGCTAATTTTCATAATATGAATGTATGATTCAGACAGGTTAAAAGATGATGGCCCCTGAATGAATCTAATTGCACTGGGACCTGAACATTGGATGTCAAGGATTGTATGCATAGACTAAAACATCATGTTACCATGAATTTGGCTCCCCAGATTTCCTCCTCGGTGGCAGGAACAGCAGTGATCTTGTTCTTAGGATTCTCGTAGCTTCTCAGTTCTCCAATTGCCGTCGAGAAGAAACATCCTGCAAAACATAGTGGCACCATTGTCAACCAAGAGTAAGAATTACAATAAAAAAAAAATATTAAAGTGATTTGATTTAGTTCTTCATGTCCACGTCGTTACAAGTCATTATGCAACTAGTGTGTTGAAATGGGAACAATTGATAATAAGATGTATATTACAATTGTCAATTTATTTGACCAAAGCAACAAAGTGATTTGCCAACCCACCTTGTGGGAAAGAAGCAAGTGACTTGCCACAAGCCCCTTTAAGCAAATCAGCATCATCAGCAAATGCCACATACCCATCAGCAGTGATTCCCCAATACAGGGGTACCTTACCAAACTGATCCTGTCACAACAATACCAACCCAATTGTTGGTAAAGATCAACTAAAGCAATAAAACCATCAATGAGGAAATGGCTGGTGGAATCACTTACAGTGGCCACAAACAAGGTAGAAGTGGACTTGTCAAAAACAACAAAGGCAAAGTTCCCCTCAAGGTGTCCAACAACATGGTTAGGAGGGTAAGGTGCCCGATCTCGGAGAGCCTTGTAAGCCTCAATGACCAACACCGCCTCGTTTGCAGACTTGGCAAGACCATATTGTTGCTTCAGACTCCCCAAGTTGTCAAGTGCTCCCTCGAACAAGCAGAATATCTCATCCTTAACTG